CAGTGCGGTAACCAAATCGGTGCTAAGTTCTGGGAAGTTATCTCCGACGAGCACGGTATCGACCCTACTGGTACCTATCATGGTGACTCTGACCTCCAGCTGGAGCGCATTAATGTGTACTACAACGAAGCCACCGGTGGACGATATGTTCCTCGTGCTGTACTGATGGATCTTGAGCCTGGCACTATGGACTCGGTTCGCGCTGGTCCGTTCGGCCAGCTCTTCCGCCCCGATAACTTCGTGTTCGGACAGAGTGGAGCCGGCAACAACTGGGCTAAGGGTCACTACACGGAGGGTGCTGAATTAATTGATTCCGTCCTTGATGTCGTCCGTAAGGAGGCTGAAGGTTGCGATTGCTTGCAGGGTTTCCAAATCTGCCATTCTATGGGTGGTGGTACCGGATCTGGTATGGGAACTCTCTTGATCTCCAAGATTCGTGAAGAGTACCCTGATCGGATCATGGAGACATTCTCCGTGTTCCCCTCCCCTAAAGTGTCCGACACTGTCGTGGAGCCTTACAATGCTACCTTGTCAGTACATCAGCTTGTTGAGAACGCTGATGAGGTCATGGTACTCGACAACGAGGCCCTCTATGACATTTGCTTCAGGACTTTGAAACTCACAACGCCTACTTACGGTGACCTCAACCATTTGGTATCTGCTGCTATGTCTGGTGTCACTACTTGCTTGCGATTCCCCGGTCAGCTCAACGCTGATCTCCGTAAGCTTGCGGTCAACATGATCCCATTCCCCCGATTACACTTCTTTATGACGGGCTTCGCCCCCCTCACCTCTCGCGGCTCTCAGCAATATCGCGCCCTGACCGTGCCCGAATTGACTCAGCAGATGTTTGATGCTAAGAACATGATGTGTGCATCCGATCCTAGACATGGACGATATCTGACAGCAACCGCTCTCTTCCGTGGCCGAATGTCGACTAAAGAGGTCGACGAGCAAATGCTGAATGTCCAGAACAAGAACTCAAGCTACTTTGTCGAGTGGATCCCCAACAACATCAAGAGTGGTGTCTGCGATATCCCACCCAAGGGTCTTAAGATGGCTGTGACCTTCTTGGGTAACTCC